ATGCCGAAAATGCTAGAATCTTGTTATATGCCATTATGTGGTAAATCCTTTGAGAATTTTTGTGAACCATGCCTTGTTAATTAAATTTGAACTAGTCGTGGGATTATGAGTATGGACATAGCATTGATGCATTCATGCACTGGCATTGGGCATGAAAGGGAAGAAATCGTTTTGAAAAGAAAAAAAGAATTTTGGGAAAGTATTTTAAGGAATCGGTTTTGTGAAAACCCGGTCGCCGCAGGGGTACCGAAGGGCCGGAAGGTTAATATAGCCTAGAGGGAACTAGGGAGATTGCCCTAGTGTGGTTGAGCTACCTGGGCCTCATAATGATGCCGCGGGGGTACCAAGGGTCAGGAAGACTAGCCAATCCTTCTCTCGTGTCGCTGCGGGGTCACTGAAGGGTGGGTTATATTAACAGTTTACAAGTGATGGTTTTGATTTTGAAAACGGGGAGCGACATCGGCATGCATTGCATTCCCATTGCATTATGTTACTTATGTAGAGATTGATTATTATATTGTGGTTTCCCTACATGACCTGATCCCCATTCTGATTGCTCTATTCTATGTTTGGATTCACGGGGACACAAGAAGCGTGTCTTAAGTGCTACCTACTGAGCTTTATGCTCATCCTATTATTTAATAATTTTTTTCAGGAAACGGGAAAGAAGTGGCGGATGACTTTCCATCACAGGCCTAATTTGGATTAGAAGACTTCTTTTTGCTATTTTTGTATTAAGTCCCATATTTTTGTAAAATCTTAGTTTGTTATATTTGGTATAAAGATTTGTGAACTCTTGTTATTGTAACTATATTTTGGGACTGTAATTATGATAATTTGGATTCAACGGTATGTAGATGTTCCACCATGAGATGAGCCATGTTGAGGTATAATGAACGGATGGGTGGGATGTTGGAGTATATTAATTATATTATGTGTTGGGACAGGTTGGAGGTGTTTTGAAAGGCCAGGAAGGGCCATTGCGTTTTTTTTATTTGAGCAGGTGGTTGTAGTCCCCTTTTTAGGGAAGGTCATGCCAAATTTTTTTTAAAATGGTATCAATTTAGGGTCATTTCAAAGTATTTTTATTTTATTATTATTTTTTCATCTAATTAGTACTCACATATACATGTCTCGACTGAGGCTCGAACCCTGACCTCCCTTTCTCGACTGAGGCTCGAACCCTGACCTCTTTTTAAAAAGTAAGAGCTTTGTACCGCTAGGACATTGACCTGTTAATAACTGCAATATTGTTTGTATCCTTTTTCGGACAGAAAGAGTATTTTACATATATTGTTCCAATAGATGGAATGATATGTGTGACAACTCTAATTTTTAAGATTTTAAATTTATATTTATTTCATTTATCATAATTAATTTTTTGTTTATTATTGGAGACTCAGTGATTTACCCAATTGAGAACTTTTATGGGTTTTGATAATGTCCATCTGTGAAATTTACAAACACTTGCATGACTCAAACAATAGCGATCTCTATAAACTCCTCACAGATTTATATAGATAAGAAGAGATCAAATTTCCTTTTAATAATGTATTTTCTAAATTATTGTTTTATAAAAGTTTATAAATATTTAAACACATAAAATCATCAACTAATTTGGGACATAATAAAAAGAAAATATATATATATATATATATATATATATATAGAGAGAGTGACAATGTCACGCCCCGAAAATTCTTGTAACGACCCGAACCCGAGGGTCCGAATCGCTAACCAGGTTCTTATCCAAACCCGAGGTCAACCAACGACACTATCGTCCTTTCCTACGTTAATTCATAATATACGTGTCATCCTAGGTTTAAAAAAATATATATATATAGTAATAGCAATAATAATAAAATGAGATTATAGTTACAAAATATGTCAAAACAGTCCACTAACCCATCGAACCCTGTGGAGGAGCGTCGTCCGCCACTTCCCTTCCGTATCCTGAAAAATGTGAATACTAAAGGGGTGAACATAAACTCAATAGGAAGTGCCTAAGACACACTTCTTATAACCCCGTGAATCCACACAAAGAACAGGTAAAAGGAAACAGAATCATACCATAGTGACTATATATCAACAACCACAACGACAAGTAAATACAACAAATGTTATCAAATCCCAAATACACCACAAATGCAAATGAAATGCAATGTCATGCAAATGTCGTTCCCGATAACATTTCTGTTTCAACTTCAAAACCATTAATGTAATCCGACCCATAGTTATTCTATAGTGTCACGAGGAGAGGGTTGGCTAACCATCTACGACCACAAAACACCTCCAGGGCGTCGCATCCGGCCTGGTTAGCTCAACTAAAGGAGGATCAACTAACCATCCACGACTACAAGGCATATCCAAGGCGTCGCATCCAGCCTAGTTAGCTCAACCATACTCCCCTCTAAACTATACTAATACCACAGACCACTAGGCGCCTCCTAGGCGTCCGATTTTCGCAAAGACTTTTAGAAAACTTTTTCCCAAAAGTAAGTTTTGATTGTTTTAGAACAAATTTTTTTTTTTTCTTCTTTTTTTCCCAAATGGATGCATGAATGTTTCATGTTTATTTTCGTCAAATCAACCATAAAACTTTCACACATATTATTCAAAGTAAATTTCAAAAAAATCCATAATTCATGTTTCACAAATTGCCGTAATCTCATAAAATTCATTCTTACAATAGTGCATGCTTTAAAAGGAAATTCCACTAGAATGTAACATACTTACTAACACCCAAAATTTCAGCAACTAAACATGTAGAATTAAAAACACAACCATTTAAGCATGATACTCAATTAAAATTTAACAACCATAAACTCACAAATTACTTTTACATGCAAGCTCACATGAATACACAATATTTATATACAACACTATAACAATTAATCAAATGAACTACCCCAATTTTAGCATGTTATACATCAAATACAAGAAGATAAGTCACAAGAATCAAAGATTGAGTGGATTAGAACACCCCTACCTCAAATTGTAGAAAAACCCTCAAAATGGGTCTCAAAACTGAAATCCTTAGAGTGCACTAAAATTGAAATTGCTTATATGGATGTGAAGATCTCGCTGTGCTCTTCGAATTGCCGCAAACGGCACCCAAAAACTCCAAGAGATGAGAAAGTAATTGAAACTTGAATTTTTTTGTAGAAAAAGAAAAAGAAAAATGAAGAACAAAATAGAGAGAGATTTACGGGAAGAGAGAAGGAGGATGAGACCAAATGGTCTCTTGGCCGCAATTTCCTTTAAGTGCAAGGTAGGCCCCACCACCAAATTTTAAAACCCTATCTCCTTTGACTTTTCTTTTGCACCACAAATATGTATACATGTGTAAATAAACTGCAAACATTACAATTCTAACAAAATGCTCTGATACCATTTTGTCACGCTCTGATACCATTTTTGTCACGACCTATAAATTCTAACAAAATGCTTTGATACCATTTTGTCACGCCCCGAAAATTCTAACAAAATGCTCTGATACCATTTCGTCACACTCTGATACCATTTTGTCACTACCTGTAAATTCTAATAAAATCCTTAATTTATACAAATCCAAATACATCAAAATACACCATGATCAAAAAAATAAAAAATAAAAAAAAAATCCCTCTTTTACAAAAAAAAACAATTTCTCAAATATACACAAAAACTCTCCAAATAAAAAATCATGCAATGCCAACTCTTCACCCTAAGCCCGTATCTAGCAATCCCCTTCCATCTTCGGTACCTGAAACTGGAGGGTGGTGAGACGGAAAGTCCCAAAGTAAAAAAAAATCATAACAAGAATTTCATGAAAGTTTAACAAAACAGCTTCACAAAATATACGTATTCATGTGAGTATATAAACAAAATACATATACATTTAATTAAAGCATTTAATAAAAATTATTGAAGCAAAACCACCTCATTTCATTCAAGGTATAGAGAACTCTACGTTGAAAAAGAAATTTCAATCATCACATCTTTTCCTTTCCCTCCTCTCATTTCGGCCAACCTGCCTTCCATCTTCATCATTAGATAACATACAATATATACATACATGAAACCAACTCATTAAAAGTCTAAAGTGGGACCCGCCCAAGAAACGACCACAATTTCCTTTCTCTCTCTTCCCATCTCGTTGGTACCATGCTGCCACCAACAGACGTTACATAATATATTATATTATATATATATATATATATATATATATATATATATATATATAATATGTAACTCAAATACCAAATTAATTAAAATGAAACATTAGTCTTCAATTTAGTAAGTCTCCAACTTAAAATAAAATAATCAATTTTTGATAATTAAATTAAAATTTATAAAATAAATTAAAATCTTAAAAAAATTCGATTTATCACAAACAACTTTTACTAAAAATAAAATTTTCTTGTATTTTATATCAAAAACATTTTGGAGAAATTACACCACTTGTGAGAATTATACTTTCCTTAAAATTTTCATTTTCCTTCTTACCAAACAAAGTTTAATTTATTTAATTTTTTTTCCATTCTTTTTCTTTCTTACTACTTCTACCCAACCAAACCAATCAGAAAAATCGAAGGAGTGTAACTATACATTTGAAAAATTAGGAGAGAATAGAGAGGAGGATTTCAAATCAATTTGCTTATTATCTTGATTTGGACAATCTTCCGCTATAATACATCTACGCAATTTTCATATAATTGCACCAATTCAAAGCACCACTTTTTATTGCTCCAACTAAACTCTAATTGGACCAATTCTACCGGAATATTCACAATCAAAAACTTTAGTTGTCTTCAGAAATGTCAGGTTTATAACACCAGGCAGCTTCCAGGAAGATTGATTGAAGTTGTTGAATCACTTAACATAATTTATTCTTTCCCTCCTCCTCTCTCTCTCTCTATATCTATTATCATTCACAGGACAACAACTACAACCCAAGCTGTTCCATTTCCGGGAAAAAAAGAAAAAAAATGTCCTATTGCGATCATTACTATAACTCGATGAGTCTAGGGTCGGACATCCTGCTAGGGGAACGGTACCCCCTGACTTGCGATGACTACAATACAATCAGTTATTACTGCTGCTTGGACCACGTAGAAAATAGTCGATATGAAGCACCAATGCCATGGATCGGTATCTATGTTGCAGCAGCATCTCTAGTATGCTCCCTTGCAATGGCTGCTGATGTCTTCCTTGGGTTTCGCCACAGAAAACTCTGGTTTCCATGCAAGTTTTTCACACTCAATGCCGCGTCCCTCACATTATTAACTGTATCAATGAAGCTGCCAATGGATCTCAATACCGATATGCAGGGTGATTGGGATCAGCTGGCGAAACTTGGCAACATTGTCATGATGTCTACAACGATGGGTAATTTTCTGCCTTCTTTAGGAACCATGAATGACAAAGAAATTTTCGTGAACATAACAACCTTGGCTATTCTTGTAATCACCATATTTGTAAATATCTCAATCCAATTACAAACTCGACTAATAGATCCTTTTTTTGAGAGAGAATACATTGCAGCTATGTCTTTCATGCTTCTTTTGCTTGTACTATTGAGTTTCTCAGCTTTGACGGTCTCCACCACTAAGAAGAGTCTACAATTGAGTTATGATGATATATGCAAAACGATTTCGAGTGAAGAATCAGAGGGAGTCCAAAATTTTACATTTGAGAAATTGAAAGAGAATGTAAAAAAATATTGGATGATGGCAGAAACTAGTAGTCCTCAGTTTGTTATGGCGCGTTCAGTAACCTGCTATGCTTCAGGGATAATTTGTTTTTTGGCTGTTGCTACTTTAGCAGAAGCAACCGTCAGGAAATCGATCCATTATTATGTATGGTACAGGCGTGAAGACCTGTACTTAGCTAGATCGGGTTATAGGTGGTCAACCTTTGTGCTTCTTTTGATTCAGACTTTTGAGGTGGTAGTAGGTACAATTGCCCTAGCATTTAGATGGTTCATGGTCATAAGATTAAGGTGCTCAAAGAAGAGAGTCCAGAGTTACAAAACTGAATTGAAAACAGAAAACTACTGGATCAAAAGGCTAGTAGGGTGGAGAGATAACCCCTTAGCTTTACGGCTCCGGGGCCAAAAATGGAGAAAACTTGTTCATACAACCAAGAATCTAATTCTAAACTTCTTTATACAAGTTCAAATTACGATTGTCACGGCCATCAAATTAAATTTGCTCATTTCTATTTTCTTAGTGAGCACGTTGATGTCATTTGGTCACTCCTACAAGGTGTTAAAGCAGAAGCTTGGCTATTGTAAGCCTACTACCTCAAACAATCACAGAGAACCAGAGTCGGGGCCTGGTACAACGCTGGATCTTAGCCGTTATGTTATATATCTTGAAGGTGAAGAGGAACTACCCTTACAGATTATGAAGAACAATAGGGATGCTACTAATCATTTAATTCAGAAGGGTAAAAAGCAGTAACCAAAATATTTGAAAGAGTTTTTAGATCAATCTACTGCTTTTATGGGGGTGGAAAAGTTTGACAGTGACCGAGTCCCATCTCTAAATTCTGAAGAACCTCCCAATTGTTGGTCTCTTCCTGGATATTAACCCCCAAATATAAATCAAAACAAAGCAAAGCTTACAAAATGGAGCTTCATCACCTCCCTAGAGGAGGTTTAGTTACCCATGGTGGCCCTAGATGAAGGAAGAAGCAAGGCTTTCCCCTCTATTTTCGAGCTTCCTCCTTGAAGCTTCAAGAACTCCTCCTCTTTGCTCTTTTCTCCCTCATCTAATCTTGTAGAATGAAGCTTAATGATTTTGTGTGGCCTTGCTTCCCTTTATTAGATATCTTATCCACTCCAAGAGGCTACCAACCAACATCTCCAACCACTTCATTAAAGAGGAAAACAAAATGAAGAAACCAAGGTGCAAGTGGGCTGAAATGAGCCATTTCCGAAGGGCATTTTGCCCAAAATTCGAGCACTCTAAGCAAGGCCTCGAGCACTCGAATTTAGTGTAAAAAGCTCTATGCTTCACTTGTTCCGCCCAGACCTACTTTGATTAAATGGCCATAACTTTGCGCTCCGAACTCCGAATGATGAACCGTTTGAAGATTTGGAGAGCTAATTCAGAGCTTTAAATACTTCATGTTTTGGTGGAGATCCAATTCTCAAGGATGGTTGATCAAAAATGAAGATCAAGGCAGAATTTCATTGCTGCCAGGCAGTTCTGCACACCTCTGGTAACAAGGCCATAACTCTCTGCTCCGAGCTCCAAATGACAAACCATTTGAAGATTTAGAAAGCTGATTCAGAGCTCTAAATCTTTCCTGTTATGAGGGAAGTCCAGTTCTTGAGTTTGCTAGGTCGAAATGGCGAGCAAAGTCCTGACTCCACTGCTGCCAGAAATTCAGCCGTGTGCCTTTTGATGGTCTAAAATCCACAAAGTCTTATTTGTACTCCTTTTTGGCAAAAGGACCTGAAAATATATACAAACACACAAATGGGGATAATCTACATAAAATAAGCAAACAATGGACTTAAATAATGCAATTAATGGCATTTAAATATGCAATATTCGGCGCTTATCATGTATCAAAGAGTAGGCACGATCAATCTTCAATTTCACATCTAATCTTGAGTCTTAAAAATTAAATTAAAAAATTACAACAAAATCGTACTTGTTTTGAACTTTTAACATGAAAATTACCCATTTATAATATTATATCTCACACCTTGTAACCTTTTGGCTTGCTTATAATATTACCTTAAACAAGCCATTTGTTTTGGTAATCTTGTGGAACCTTTAATTAGTACCATGGAGCATGTCATTTACTTTTTCACTACTTTTGCTCCTTTCTAGCATAACAACCGTATTTTTATTTTTATTTATTTATTTATTTATTTTTTCAGTCCTTCACTGATTGACTTTTGAAAGTGACATGCTCACATTTTCCACGGCATCGTGGAAAAATAGCATTTACTAATTTACACTTCGATGTTCCTTGTTAAGACATTTCACTTTAGAAGACCAATTGACTTGAGAAATGCAACACAAAATCTTGGCTTCCAGGAAAAATGATAAGGGTACTAACATCTCCAATAACCATGTTGAAAAAATACATCCCATCATATTCAAAATTTTGTATTGAATGGTATTTAACAATTTATTAGTGAAACTAAGTCTAATAAATTTGTAGATAATACACAAATAGTTAACATGGGTATTTTGATACATGGGTACTTTCCAAAATTCTATAAAACTCCCATGGATAACAAATAATTAAAGACTTGATATTGATGGATCTATAAGTCAAATTAATTCCATATCCACTTTCATTTCCAAATACTGCGTACTTATCATTTTTAATGAAGAATATTTACCCAAAAAAAGGAATAAATGAAAGGAGCTATATAAATAGTACATAGCATAAAAAGAAGCTACACTATATAACACGTGCAATGAAAGTTCCACGGCACTAAATGGGTTGTTTGACCCACCGCCGACGCCCCTAAACAAATAATATGATTACAATATGTACCAACCAATGTCCGTCCACACGCACTACTTTGAATTTTCATCATACTATATACATATATATATATATTACGGAGTAAACAATATGATTTCAATATTTACCAAGCAATGTCTATCCACAGTGGCCGAAAATTTCTACTTGAATTTTCTTTCAGTTTTCGACTTATTGAATTATGAATGTGACATGCTCACGTGCCTTTAAACCTTGATATTCTTTCTAAGTGGTAGTTAAAAGACCAATTGACTTGGAAAAATGCAACACCAATCACACACCTGCTAAGTGGTAGTTTCCAGGAAAATCATTCCTCAGCTAATGTGACATTGCTTACTTGTTAAGTTGTCAGGAGAGAGCATAGCCCATCCATCACTCAATACTGGGGGTTAGTTTTCTCTATGAATTATTCTATGATTCATAAGTATAGCATTCACAAGACCAACAACTACAACCCAAGCTCTTGCCTTTCCCCTAAAAGAAAATAACGTTCATAACTAAAGCAGAAAAAAAATAATAATAATAATGTCCATCTGCGGAATTTACAAATACTTGCGTGATTTAAACAATAGCAATCTCTATAACGAACTCCTCACGGATTTATATAGATAAGAAGAGGTCAAATTTCCTTTTAATAATGTGTATTCTAAATTATTGTCTTATATATAAGTTTATTAATATTTAAACACATAAAATCATCAACTAATTTGGGACATAATAGAAAGAAAAAAAAAATATAGAGTGACAACTTTTACGAGAAATAAAATTTTTCTAGTGTTTTATATCAAAAACATTTTGGAGAAATTACACCAATTGCGAGAATTATACTTACCTCAAAATTTTCATTTTCCTTCTTACCAAACAAAGTTTAATTTATTTAATTTTTTTCCATTCTTTTTCTTTCTTACTACTTCTACCCAACCAAACCAATCAGAAAAATCAAAGGAGTGTAACTACACAATTGAAAAATTAGGAGAAAATAGAGAGGAGGATTTCAAATCAATTTGCTTATTATCTTGATTTGGACAATCTTCCGCTATAATACATCTAATGTTTCTAATATAAATTTATTCTATTCATATAGAGCACATCCATTCTTTGGATATTATTTGAATTTTCTAGATTCGTAGGTAGCCCTTTTCATGCAAACCACTCAAATTTTAGAAATCCTGAGGCAGTAACCCTGAAAATATTTACAGCCAATTTTACGTCTATTTCAGTTCTACAAAAGTTTTGAAAAAGTTAAATTCTTGTTGAAAGTGGATTTATCATTTGTGGGGCAGAATCTGGGTTGGATGGAATTAATAACTATACGATGCACAATCCATTCATGAATCTGAATGGTGTATTTGGGATTACGGTTTTCACACTAGCTTAATATGCATTTTTCATGTTTATGGTGTAAGAACTATACTACTAAAATTCATTCTTTTATTTTCGGTAAGTACTAAAATTCATTGTTTGTTCAAGTTTTACATGATGAAAATGTCATGAATGTTAATCTGCAGGATTTGTTGGAAATCAAAGAGTGTAGCGTGAGCTGTAGTGCTTTTTGGAGTTGCTGGAGGTGTTTTTGGGATCCTGTTTCCTTTTGCTGGTGGTGTAATTTTCTTGATTATTTATTTAATTGTGGCTCACATGATTTGGACATGTGACATATTACTTGGTGGCTAAGTAAATAGATATCAATTAATTATTCTTGGTCAACTTATAATTACTTTTTTTGGTAATTACTTATTGGAGAAGTGTTTTCTTTCTAATTCCTTACTTTGATGGAAAGTAAAATTATGTTTCTAAAAGGAAAACTAGTCCTCTCTCTGCCTTTATAAAAGTGCATATACTCCATCAATTATGTACGATTATTGAGACAACACGTAAAAGATTATTGTGTGCAAAAGGCCAAGAGAGATAAACCAGTTTCCAGCTTTGTCTGTTAATCAGAGTTGCAGATTGGTTCGTGGTTAAAGTATCTGGACGTTAGATTTAATTTCAATAAGGTTTGATATCATGAATAGAGGTATGTATATCTAACTATATTTATTTATGCGTTATAAGAATGTGAAATTAATTGAAGTTCTAAGATCTAGGGTTTTATGATAATTTGTGATTAAAGTCTAACACAAATTGAATTAAAGTTTTTACATGTGGTATCAGAGCCAGTAGTTTTGGAACTCATTAATTTTTTCCATTATTCTTGCAGAAATAATATGCCTAAGTTTAAATTAAAATTAAATAATAATATGATTTTAATTTATGGTATACGAACACTGTTTTAATTCGTGTACTCGTTTTTGAACGAGTGTCAAGAAACTGTTTGTACATATATAATGATCAAATTTGTTGTATTGTTATCTGTTTGTCGAAGACAACTGATGTTATGTGCTGTACCTTGTTTGCCGAACTTGTGTGTGTGTATATATATATATATATATAACATAAGTTAAGTCTGTTAATATATATACATATATATATATATATATCATATAGAGACAAAAACAACTTAAAGGGTGAAAAACGAATCTGGTGATTCAATTAAGTTGTGTTGGGTGATTGTATATATACATATATATATATATATATCATATAGAGACAAAAACAACTTAAAGGGTGAAAAAGGAATCTGGTGATTCAATTAAGTTGTGTTGGGTGATTGTATATTATATATATCACAATGAGTAAAAAACAAGTCAAAGAAATTGGTTTTTGTCTATTTCGTGTAATCAAGTGACATAGTGAAATATTTTATTATTATTCCGCTGCTGCGCAAATCGAGGTATTAAATTATGATCATGTTTTTGTTTGTTTTGTACATGATTAAATATATGTTACACTATTATATCTATGAAATTTAAGACACCCACAAGTAATTTAATTAAACATGTTTGTTTTGTACATGATTAAATATATGTTACAGTATTATATCTATGAAATTTAAGACACCCACTTGTAT